TTAGGGAAGAAAAAGAATTGTGCAAAGCGAGAGCTCCTAAGGCAAGGATAAAGAGGAAGTTTAAAAAAGAGGAACTCGACAGAAGTTAAGGACTTGGTAAGTTAATGTGTGTGGAGATGGGGATGAGGATCTAGGGGAAGCTGATGATGAATCCTGGTCTGCTCTGCATGCTGGGGTGGACCCTAAAGCCATTCACCAAGGTGGGGAACACGTGAGGAGGAAGAAGTGGAAAGAGGGGCAGAGGAAGGTCAAGTTGGTCTGGACTTGTGAGTGCGCAACACTTTCATGAGGTTCAAGAGCAGATCTAAGTGCAGGACGTAGTCAGGCATATGGATATGATAAGTAACAAAGAGGCCAAGGCAAAACAGATCAGTTATGGAACTGGCCACACACCGATGAGGGTCGAGGTTACTAAGCGGACAAACCATCTAGAGAAAGTACACTGTGGGAGATTCAAAGAAAAATGAGGAAGGAATGGGGAATGCTAATTTCGGGGTGACAAGACAGATGCAAAGAGCTGACGATACAAAAAATTCAGGAATAAAGTTTTGGAAGACAAGGAAACAGAGTTTGAAGAAGGAGGGAATAGTGAATGGTATGGAGTAAGCTAACGATGGAACAATGTCCAGCAGTTTCAGAAACATGGAAGTCAGTGGGGACCTTGCCAGAGCAATCCCAGTGAAGCCTGAAGTTCCATGATTTAAGGATCCTCATATCAAGTCACACAAAACTGGGATCCAGGTGGACGGTACTGGAAAGGTACAAGTCCTGATACTTCTAACCACGGCTAGTATTCTAAACAAAAGAAGAGTAAAAAGTAAATGGGTGCTTGTTTTGTTTGAAAGTAGAAAATGACACAGTGGAAGATTAGAATAGAACTGATATGAAATAACAAATTTAGAAAGTATTTTCCTTAAAAATAGAGATGGAATGAGCACATGACCACTACGCTGTCTGAGAGGAGAACTCTTAAGTTTGTTTCGACAATACTCACCAGGCATGACGGTCACACCCTGTGTGGTGCTGGTGTCTGCTGAGCAAGGGGAGAGGGAGGCGGCGACGCTGCATAAACTGAACACGGAAGACCCCCCATCCAGCTCAGAGCTAAACCAGGGGGTACAGGGGGAATATGAGGCATACAGGCAAAACTCAAAAGTACCAATGGTTCAATGAGATCTAACATCAAATATTCACACACAGGCTGGTAATACTTCTTCTAAAAAAAAAAAAAAAGGAGAAAAGGAAATTCTCTTACGTGGTAAGATGCCTATTGTTTATCCAAAGCCCCTCAAATAGCTAAACTTCTATGAGCATATTAGCACAGATCAGGGTTTTATTACTGACCCCACATTATGTTTCAACACAGTAACGTATCAATTTCAGTGCTACAGTCAGCTATGTTTATTTCAATCCTACTCTTTAACACTAAGTAAATCTGAGGCCAAAATAGTGATCACATCATACTACCTATTTCTATTGAGTAAATGTTAATTCAGTTAACAAATACTACTCTCGCAAATACTATAAAATTCTATAATCAGAACGTGGCCACCCAGAGAGCATAAAACACAAATATTAAAAACAAACAGAATGAGACTTTATTCTACTTAGACGGCAAATGGATCATCAGTTCTTGCCGTGTAGTTTCTCTTAGCAATGTATAGAGAGGACCACCCAACTAAAGAATTTTTGTTAAAATGCAAAACACCAGCATATTTTAGTATGTCATAAAAAATCCTGATCTTGGTATTAAAGGAAAAATAATCTATCCCACAGATATTTTAAAAAAATTATGCCTAATGACCTTTAAGTCTGGGATATTGCATACAATTAAAGAAAAACTATGTACGCTTTTATAAGAGGTAAATTAATGTTTTCATACAAAATGACCATGCTGGATCCAGCCATGGTGAATGAAGAGGGCAGATTTGTGTAGCATGAGCAGAGTAAACCTGAGATGGCTGTTACCTTAAGCTTAAATACAGCTGGTGCTCTATTAGCTAAATGCAACTTGCCTAACCTGGGGGAGGAAAATGAATGCAACGATGCAACCATAAAGCATGCTTTAGTCTCAGTATCAGGCCATGCTGTTATTGGTAAGGCAAGATTCAAGGTATGGCAGACTCTTGCTATTTGTGTTGACTATTTATGATTCATCTGAAAGCTCCATATTATACTTTATAAAGTTCCCAGGTACAAATGGAAATGGTACCCAGGATAGAGCTGGTGTGCAGGGGAGAGACAAAGGGACAAGAAGTGTCCCCAGACTCCTCACTTTCATATCCCAGTACAGTACTTTGTTCTCAGTAAGACTCTAAAGGGAATGCTGAAAATGGAGTATATTTTACTGCATTTCATGAAGAAAACCATATTCCACAGTGAACTTTATGAAGGTGGGGATTCATGAACTCAGGAAATATTCCTAACGAATGACACAAGTCTGCTCTATTCCCAGATATTCCTGAAATTGTAGTAGCAAAACGAAGTTTCTCGAACATAGGTTGAGTATTCCTTATTTGAAACGCCTGGGGCCAGAGAAGCGTTTTGGATTTTGTGTTCAGGTTTTTTTTTTCCCCAGATTTTTGGAATATTTGCATTATACTTACAGTTGAGCATCCCTAATTCAAAAATATGAAATCTTAAATTCTCCAATGAGCATTCCCTTTGAGCATCATGTTGGTGCTCGAAAAGTTTTGGATTTTGGAGTATTTTACATTTTGGATTTCTGGATTAGGGATACTCAATCTGTAGTACCTTCTATTTATGCCTCAAAGCTAAAATTGAAAAAAGAAATACGGTGATACTAAAAATGAGGAATGATGGGATAGGAAATTAAACTCCAAGTTTTCACGAAAGAAGGATCCCCATCTAATTCCCATATACTTCAAGATGAAAATGAGCCAGATAATACTATTATCCTGAAAATGAAGACCTGAGATTTCACAAGTCATCTAAACCCTCCACCCTAAGATCTGAAATCCAAGTCTAGTGTACTCAAAGTATACCTGAAACTGAGAAGCCTGAGGGGGCAGCAAGTGGAGGTTAAATTTCCCTGAAAACCACTGGCAGTCTGCCCCTTTCATCTCTGAGGCTGAGAGCCACGGGCTACTCTTACAGTCTCATGGGTGGGCCCTCACTGAAAGGTACTTTCCTCTGGATGGAGTTAAGAGGACAGGCAGACACAAGAACATGCACAAATAACCTCTAGAACTCAAGGAGCTCCATCTGGAAAAAAAGGAGTTAGGCATTCTCTAGCACTGAAAGTTCTTCCCATCGAAAGATGATACTTAGCTGCAGAAAATATTTTCACTATTGGAGGTATGTTCAGCAATAAGCTTTAGTTTCTATTGCAGAAATTAAATTCAACATGGATTCAAGATACATTCTGCTACTTTATCATATGGGATATTGTATAAAGGCAATGACACGAAAGCAGTTTCACTTGTGAAAGCCTGCTGATTGTTCCAGAGAGAAAGAAAACAGCATTGAGAGGGGGGAAAAAAAGGTCCTTCTTTAAACAATGGTTTCCTAGGTTCATCTTTCAAAATGTGGGCCAAATCATGAATTCCAGTTCACACACACCTCAGAGAGAGCCAAGTTTGGAATGTGTAGAACAAAGAATGTACTCAGAGATCTCTTGGATGTTTTCCTCCTCAAACATAACGCCAGTGAGGAGTCCAGATGGCAACGTGGTCCACTTTGGGAGAGGATTCTTTTACTGAGATAAACAGCAAGGCTCTGTAAATAAATCTCCAGGATTAAGTGAGGAATTTTAGGAAGGCAACTACTTTTTTATTTGTCTATTTGTTTTTAATTAAATTATTTCTACATGGTATCCTAATATGCTAAAATAGTTAAGTGACAACATTTTATGCAACAGTCTGAAAGTTAGACTAAGATAAAGACTTCACGGTGTGCTTTCTAAAACTTCCAGCTTTCTGCTCCCAAACTGGACCAAGGATTATTTATGTGTATCTGGGAACCGTTTTCCTTGGCACCCTGTTCTTGCGGGACTCGGTTCCTGCTGCTCAGATGAGTCAGGGTCACGTTTTGGCTTCGACAAGAAGCCTTCCTTCTGCCCAGCACAGTTCCCGAAACACAGACTTCTCCCCCAGCTCTAAGGGCTTCCACAAAAACATCCTGAGATGTGATCGGGGAAGGCAGATGTGACAGG